TTTCATGGCCGAACAAAAGAAGATTTCTTTGTTACATGCATGGCTTTTTCAGACCGGTAAGTTACAGAAGCATGGGTAGAAGCTTTCTCATTAACACATACTCTTGCTTGGAACTGAGAACTTAGCACTAAAGGAATTTGGCGTTTCGTGAGCGAAGTTGAATGACGTGCAAATTGAGCAATGAAATGCAATTTTTTTTAGTTCCTTTCTGCTCAAAGGTATAGGTGAGAAGTAAACTTAACGATAGCTGAAAAACATGGCTTGTAGTATGCCTAACTTACAGATCTTGACGCGGCGCAAATAAATAGTTGTTGTACAAGGGGATTCAGTTACCCTCCTGAAAAGGAATGTTTCATTTTGTATGTCATTTTAAATAGGTAACCAATTTTGCGATGTAAAAGAGCAAAAACAAATGAATACGTTTTCTAGTCTATCAAGACAATTAGCCACCCACCCATGTGGCACAACAAACAACCTCATTTCTGATAGTAGGCATAACTCCTACTTTGCAATCTAATCCAAATTTGATTGCGTCTTCTTTCAGGAAAAATCAAATCAAAGGCACTAAATTCTGTACAGATTAAATTGAAAGTTACAAGAAACAGTCGTATGTGGTCAAAATATATTAGTAATCATCATGCGTATTGAAAAGTTGAGCAGTATGTATGGCGACCTTAACATAAAGGAAACCCTAAATGGCTTGCGTCAAGTTTAAAAAAATAAGAACACGAGGCGTAGGTTTGCTTAAGTTGAATAATCATTATACTTGGTTTAGTTTCGTCCTCAAGACAAAGACGTATGTTGGCGTCGAGTAAGGATATCTATCCCGGGATATATATTCCTCAAGACTTCTCCACTCCTTTTCAGTCTTTGACTAGTCAATGCATCTACCTCCGTGAGTCGTTCCTTCAATAAGAAACATTTTGTTCTTTCAATTTATATGAGAGTGCTATTTTATCAGATCTACGATGAATTTAAAACATTATGTTACTAAATAGTAAAGATTCTGCAACATATATATATGCCCTGGCGATGTACTTAGTTGAGTGACACAGCTGGGAAGGACTGTCTTCAATATGTATAAAGCCAAAAGCACTGCTTAATTTCTCAAATTAGATTCTTCGCAAAAGTCAATTTTTGGATATGGTAGTGTGCTCTTGTACGAGATAGAATACCCGGTCTTTGCTCAATGTTCTTCCATGATCGAGCCTGTGGTTTAGCTACATGGCATAAACCATTTACATTACGTTTTGGAATCCATTAAAAGAGCAATTCAAAGACTTGGAAGTTTCACGACTTGTAAAAGAACTGTGTTGTTTTACCAAATTAGTCCAATTTTAAAGAACACGAGTCATTTATAACTTCAGTCTGCTATTTTTGAATTCGACGCTATCATAATGTTGAAACGAGAAGCGCTCAAATAAAGAAGGTTTCTCTTTAGCATATTGGTATATTTACTCTGGGCATCACTCTCCCGTGAGGGACAAAAGAAACTTAACAAATTTGAAATTTTGTTCTGGAAGCCTCGGAGCCATGTCAGAATAGTGATATATCGAACGTGGCCTATAAGTATGGAAGGATATGCCATTTGTCAGTTGGTGAACGAACTTTTTGCAAGCTTTTTGGGACTGTACACCGGCGTGGAGCTGGGCATAATGTATATTAAAGTATCGTAAACTGCAACAATATGTCTGCATGATTGGAAATTAAAAGTAATTCTCGGCCAACACGCCATTTTTCTAAAAAATATACTTTAATATATCGAACGTGGCCTATTGCACTGAGTTCAATGTACTTTCAAAGCAACGAGCAGTTT